CTGTACGCTGAGTATCGAATTGATATCGGAGGTAGAATCAGAATCAGCCACCCGCTTTGAATTGGATTCACGGTAATGAATGTTATTGTTATTCTGGGATCTGCGGCGTCACCAAACGTCGGCGCCATCTCAGCTCGGAGGAGTTTTGAGTGGGTGCTGTAACCTGTTCCATTTCGTATGATCGCAGTCTCTTGTATGTGATGATATAGATTCATTGGCAGGCATAAAGTAGCTAGTACAAGTAAATCAATGAGTAACTAATGTCTTCATCGGGGTAAGGAATATCATTGCAGTTCTTCAAGTTTGGAATCGTTTTAGTTGCAATAAAAAATAGCCTCAGCAGCCGCGCACAATATTATTATAGTACGCTTTCACCTCGCGACTGTGGAGTGCTGTTGACTGGTAACAAATGGATTCGAATCACATTTTTTCCTACTCCACTTGCCAAGCAATTAATGAGATCCAGATGCGGAAGAGATCTCAACAGCCATTGACTTGAATTTCTCTCAAAATCATATAAAACCTAGCTCAGAGTCCACACTAAACTCATCACTCAGTGAACACTCAACCCACTTCTCCAGTACTACTCAGCTAAATCATCATGCAATTCACTGCTCTCGTTGCTCTCACCTCCGTCGTTGTCACCTCTGCTTTTGCTGCTAGCACTAGCAACCTCGAGAGGCGCATTTCCGACCCAGGAAATCCCGCCAACTTGATCAACTGTCCTCCTGGAGGTGGTGCTGATGCGTGTAACCTCGAACAGCCTGTGAGCTTTCAAGGAGCTTAATACTTAGAATTTTTCTGACTTTTTTCCTCCTTCTAGTGCTCTCGTATCAGGATTAACTATGGAAGTACACAACAAGGCCATTTCATCTGGTATGTGGATTTGGGATTTCATCCAGGAAATTGTTTGCTAATGATGTATCTTTGCAGGTACAACAATGATATTAGTAACATTCCTGTTGGGATCACGGTCGGAACTGAGGCTTCCTGCACTGACTTTTAAATTTGCATGAACGTCGAAGGAAGATTTAATGTTGATCTTTTTGAATAGTTTTGAATTGTTTGTAATATCTATAATATCTTGAAGTCTCCCATTTTGCCTGATTTTATTGTGATGTGATAACTATGTAAAGTTGAAATATAAGTTAACATTGAAGTACTAGGGATCTTCATCTACTTGTTCCCCATTTTATATTGTCGCGTTTTCGATCCAGGAAATTCCGCCAACTTGATCAACTGGCTCTCAATGCAAGTGTTATTCCGTGTATGGAGGCGACGGCCACGATCGCGGAGGACTCGATGTAGTAATAGAAGCTCGGTGAGATCCAAATTCAATGGCTTGGGTTCACAAAAGCGTATAAAAGCTAGCTCAAAGGGCATCAGAAACCCTATGCTGCCGCAAACGGGAAAAAAAATAATTTCCGAAAGTTTCATCGATTTTTCACCTTTCCCGAATGTTTGAGCGTGACATGTGACCTACCTGGATTTCCGAATGTTTAACTTGTAAGTTCCGAAACTGGAATTGGACAATCCCGAAACTTTCAATGTAATAGCTGATTTTGTTTTCGAAACTCTGAATCTGGTCCCGAAACATTAAATAGTCCTGATGCGGTAGCTTTTTAACGGGTTAAGATAACCTTATCTTATCTTATCTTTACCTTTATCTAATCTATGTGCCTGTTGGAACAGAATAAGGCTTCAACCCATATCAATTAATTACCCATTTAATTGGTTTTATCCCAGTAAAATTACCGGCTCCAACCAATTAAATTACAATTACTTGAAATTCAGTATTTAATGGTAATTGATTTCTAATCAATTAATAACGGTTTTTTGTCCCAAGAAATTTGACCTGAAATCACCTTCTGAACATCAAAATCAAAGAGACTATCATATAGCCAACTCTTTGCACACATCACCTTCATTAGTTCAAAACATATCCTTCAAACTCAGTGCACTGAGGCACAAGGGGGAAGTTTCTGCTATCAGTGTCCCCAATCACCAGTTGATCAGTCTGAGTCACACATAATGACAATATATTATAACCTGGCTGAAACTATTATGACCTCTCATAACATAGTGTCATTTTCTCAGATAGGCTGTACAAGGAAAAGCAGAAACAATTTATAGTGGTACTCAAAAATAACCAAACAAGGTGTCTAAGTGGACAAGACACAAAGTGATTTTTAAATGGACATTTACCAATTTGAAGTATATGACAAGCATCTACTAGATGCATACTTTATCTCATTGTGACAAATGTAAGTCTCTTCATGAACATAGAACTTGGAAGGGATGTTATTTTTGAGCACCACTGTATTTGCAGGAAGATTGAGACAATTTACTGCAAAGTACACTCATCTACCACATTTTCATGATCTAATTTTAATTTTGGAACTACACTACCAAATCAAATTCCCATGCAAAATTTCTACTTCAGAAACATTATTTCAGTAGCTGCATGTGTAAGTGTGCAGTACAAAATATTCATTTTCAGTGCCAATTTCGGTTTGTCACACTTGAGTCATGTGAGGTTAGTAGAATTGTATGCTCCCTACCTTATGCCAGTCCTGTGCTGGAAGGCAAGTTAGCATGTCTAATTGCTCAGTATAGCCCTCAAAAAATCATATGAAAAAGCCAATTAATTAATGGGTTAACAACCCATTAACCAGTTCAGGTCACATGTCACGCTCAAACATTCGGGAAAGGTGAAAAATCAATGAAACTTTCGGAAATTATTTTTTTCCCATTTGCGGCAGCATAGAAACCCATCACTCAGTGAACATCCAGCTCATCACTACAAGCACACCATACAGCATGCAGTTCTCTACTTTCGTCGTCTTCATCTCTACCGCTGTCTCTTCAGCTCTCGCAACCACCACGAGTAACCTTTAGCGTCGTATTCACGACCCAGGGAACCCCGCCAACCTTATCAACTGCCCACCTGGTGGCGGAGCTGATGCTTGTAACCTTGAGCAGCCAGTGAGTATTTCTTTACCCAAGCAATTTATGATATTATTTTGCTGACGCTTCTCTCAGTGCTCTCGCATCCGAATCAACTATGGAAGTCCACAGGGAGGTCACTACATTTGGTACGATCTTATACTTCCATTAGATACTTAGTCGATGAACATGTCTGTTTTCAGGTACAACTCTGACATTAACAATGTCCCCGTTGGTGTCACCGTAGTAACTGAAGCTTCGTGAACCGATTTCTGAGCAATGAAGGGGGTGTAAATACTTCCGAGAGGCCATAGTAAACCAGAATATCAACGTATCTTTCTGTTTTGTAAAATTGAATATGTAATAATGTTTAAATATTTTATTTAATATCATTATCGTACACATTGAACTCGGAAGAGACGTAAAATCCAAACAGAAAAATATTGGAGCATTTCCTGATCAGAAGAAATTGAAAACAAAGATCTGAATAAACCAAAAAATCACAAACTTTCATTGGAAACGGGTGTGATTTTCTCTGTAGAACGCATTCTTTTCTGTTGGAAAGGCGTGTCTAAAACAATTCCTTCCGTAAAATACTCATCGATCACAATAGTGTTTGAACTTGACGCCCGGTGGCATTGCTTAGATTCTTACAAACATGCTCCTGTGAATGAGCTCAAACCGTACTCTGCACTATAAGTTGCTTTTCGACGTCATACAGCGGTAACCCTTTCCTTCCTGTACGCTGAGTATCGAATTGATAACAATCGTCCTCGGAAGTTGAATCAGAATCAGTCACCGGCTTTGAATCGGATTCACGGTAATGAATGTTATTGTTATTCCGGGGTTTGCGGCGTCACCAAACGTCGGCGCCATCTCAACCCGCAGGAGTTTTGGGTGGGTGCTGTAACCTGTTCCATTTCGTATGATCGCAGTCTTTTGTATGTGAGGATATAGATTCGTTGGTAAGCGCAAAGTAGTTAGTACAATGAGTAAATAGTGGCTTCATTGGAGTAAGGAATATCAGTGCGGCTCGTCAAAGTTGAAATTGTTTTAGTTGAAATAAAGAACAGCTTCAGCAGCCGCATACGATATTATTATAGACGCCTTCATCTCGCGACAGTGGAGTACTGTTGACTGGTAACACAAGGATTCGAATCACATTTTTTCCTATTCCACTATGCCAAGCAGTTAATGAACTCCAAATGTGGATGGGATCCTAACAGCCATCTACTTGAATTTTTCTCAAAATCGTATAAAACGTAGCTCAGAGTGCACACTAAACTCATCACTCAGTGAACACTCAACCCACTTCTCCAGTACTCAGCTAAAACATCATGCAATTCACTACTCTCGTTGCTCTCACCTCCGTCATTGTCACCTCTGCTTTTGCTGCTAGCACTAGCAACCTCGAGAGGCGCATTTCCGACCCAGGAAATCCCGCCAACCTGATCAACTGTCCTCCTGGAGGTGGTGCTGATGCGTGTAACCTCGAGCAGCCTGTAAGTATTCAAGGAGGTTGATACTTAGAATTTTTCTGACTTCCCCCCCCTTCTAGTGCTCTCGTATCAGGATTAACTATGGAAGTACACAACAAGGCCATTTCATCTGGTATGTGTATTTAGGATTTCGTCCGGGAGAAGTTTGCTAAATGTTCTACCTTCGCAGGTACAACAATGATATTAGCAACATTCCTGTTGGGATCACGGTTGGAACTGAGGCTTCCTGCACTGACTTTTAAATTTCCATGAACGTCGAAGGAAGATTTGATGTCGATCTTTTTGAATAGTTTTGAATTGTTTGTAATATCTATAATATCTTGAAGTACTCCCATTTTTATTGTGATGTGATAACCATATAAAGTTGAAATATAGAAGTACTTTCATGTACTTGTACCCCATTTTATAGTGTTGCGTTTTCGATCCAGGAAATTCCGCAACTTGATCAACTGTCAATGCGAGTGTCATTCTGGGTCACGATCACGGAAGACTCATCGTGTATCTAAAACTCCGAAATGCAGCAGAAAAAAAGGTTCACAGGAAATCACTCCTCAATTCCATCACAGGGAATCGAACCCTGGGCTATCGCGACTTTCAATGAGAGGCGATAATGTTAGCCACTACACCATGATGGAGCGATAACGGCTCACTGAATAAGGGCAAGATGCCCTTGCACAGGCCGGTACCTCCTAATATAGACTAGCCTCGCTTAGTCATGCCGAAAAGTGCGTGGCCACGTAGGTGCACAGGAAGAACGAAAAGGTTTACATTTTCCTTTTTACACCCTATTTCCTATTCTCCATCTACGGTCGTCTCTTGGTCTTGGTTACTTGTCTCTAAAACGGAATCGCAAAAATGAGTTCGCCAGTACAAAATCTCGTCATTTCCTTGGCTGCTATGCAGTGTGCGTTGTTTTCGCCTTGTCCTTATCCTTCCTTTGTATTCAACTTGTACAACTGGCATGATACACAGTGGCCCGCCGGATTCCGTTTGAAAACCCCGAAGTGTTAACCTATGTTCGGATTGGATACGCCGCCACTCAACTGGTGATTTTGGGCGTGTATTACTATGTGACGATGCAGGTCAAGAAAAAGAATGACCAGACCATCTTGAAGTATGGTGCGTCTTTTTTGCCCCTTTATGTGTACTGGTCTCGTTCTGAATTGTATTCTAGTCGAGCCCCCTAGTCCTATGGTTCGTGTTTTCCCGTTTTTCTCCTGGTCTGACATTGACGCGCTCTATCATAGTCGCCCGACCAAGAGTCAAAACTTGTTACGACGACTGTCCGGGACTATGACCTTTCTGAAGTCTCCAAACTTGTGTGTATCCCTTGTCCTCGTCCTCCTTCCCAACCCAACCACTAACGCCCTTCTTTCTCCAGCTCCGCTCTGTCTACATCGGTATCGCCATGATGTGTTTCCTCCACGGCTATATGAAATTCACCCAACCTCTCTTCATCCAATCTCTCATGGGTCTCAAGGGCTTGTATGACGCCAAGCCCATCATGATCCATGTTCTTGGACGGAAAGCTGAGGGAGACTTGAAGAGGCCGTGGAAGGCCGGTGGTGGAATGTTTGGCGGTGAGTGATTGGTTCACTGGTTCGGTTTTGACGAGTATGGTTGGCTGACTGGGTCTTTTTTACCTTCTTTCTTTCATTCCGTGCTTTTCTTCCTTCAACGCAATCTGGCGTCTTGCGCGATATTACTATGCACATTTCTTGCCCGTAACCTCTATCTACTATACCGGTCGGTTTTGCGACGCCTCGACGCTTTATGGGTAAATCTGCAACCTCGCCCTATATCCGTCCTTTCTACTGTATGCCCCTCCATATCCGACTTTTTCCGGACTTCGCTCGCCTAAATCCGCTATCAAAACACCGTGCGGTACACGTATACTTGTGTTACTATTTTCGCCATCTACTTCTACATGCCACGGCATGTCATCTCATCATTACTCACTTGACGGGATTCCCAACGTCTACATGTTGCTCATGACATGACACGACATGTATGCGCGTTCCACTGATGGTTCATTCCTGCTACCGTATCTGCCCTCATCTCGGCCTCGGCCTTGCTTTGTCTGCGTGCCCTCCCCCATCTCGTAACATTACCCGCTGTGCCAATTTCCGTGTTACTTCATTTCATTTCATCTTTTGTAACCATATACCTGTCCATATCGACTCGACCCTCGACCCTGTCCTGCGCTGACCTGTCCCGGCACTTGTCGACGCTCCCGCATCCGTCGTCTTTGTCTCTATCGCTGTCGTTGACGTTGGCGCACACGTACACGGTGTATATTGATACTGCGATGTGCACGACAAACAGGTCCCGCAGGTCCACAAACAGATAATGCTGCTATTGCAGAGGCGGAGAAGAAGGTTGGGAGTAAGAAGGATGAGTAGTTTTAGTTTAGCTTGGATATATAGCTATCTTGACATTTCTCGTGTCTCTCTTTAAAACTCTATACCGCGATACATGTAGTTTCAATTTGGAGAATTGAGGGGACGCTTTCTGTGTAGATATGTAAGGCTGCTACTTTGTTTGAGAACGCCCACATGTTAACATCTCCATCATGGTGTAGTGGCTAACATTATCGCCTCTCATTTGCAAGACGCGATAGCCCAGGGTTCGATTCCCTGTGATGGAACTCGAATGGGCATTGTAAACTTTTGTTTCATGATGCTAGTACCTCACAGGCTGTCTACAAGCTTCAACAAGAGTCGGCACGTTCGGTCTGAATGGTGGTATTGCAATTTTGAAGTTGATTGGAAAAGGATGGTGCGTGTTTGTGTTTGTAGTACTACGTACATATGCTACTTACTTGAGATTGAGATTTGAGAATATGAGTATTACAGACGGCAGAGACTAGGAATAGAATTGTAGTACTACGTACATATGCTTCTTACTTGAGATTGAGATTTGGGAATATGAGTGTTACAAACGACAGAGACTAGGAATAGAAAATGATGATGGTGGAGAGTAATACAACTTAGCTTATATACTAAAGGAGAAAGAAGATAGTGCAGAAAGATGTACTACATAGCAGAATCCGAATACTACTAGTAGTGAAATGTTGGAGATCACGAAACACATCGATATGATCGAAGTTTCTTCAAGGACAGAGTAAAAACTCCAACACATCCTCGGGTATTTCATGGAACTGTTCGGATTCCTTCTGTATTGTTTAGGAGACGGGTAAGTAAGTGTCGGTTACGGTTAGTAAAACCAAAACATACCTGTAAATAACCCCCGGCAGCTATACAAGGTACGACAATCCCAGTTATTAGTGCGAGCTCTGCTAGCCAATCCGAACGGGATTTTGTTTCAGAAGATGAGAAATTGGATTTGGAGTTTGAGGCTGAGCGAGGGAGGGGAAGGTCTGGGTTGAAGAACTGCATAGTATAATATTAGTGGAAAATCGAAGTAATTAAGGAAGACTTACGTGTGGATCATGACTAGCCATACTAATCATCCTCCGTGATAAAACAGGGTATGAAGCTCGGGAGAGGAGAGCGAGCGACCGCATAGTAGGAATGGTAGAGAGACGTATGAGAGAGGTCATCTCCGAGAATGCACGCTCTTGAGAGGGTTTGAAAGTAGAAAGGTGTTTGTTGCTTGCTTGGAGCCGGTTGTTTGATGCAGACCGTACTGGAGACTACTTTGGCTTTTATACGTTACCCTTATCGAGAAGAGCTTGCGGACAGACCATAACAGACCATTCCTATGTCATTTCGTTGCAAGTTCTTGCGCGAATGGATTCTGGGTATGGGGGCTTTGAAGGACTATTTCATCCCAGTCCACTCTAGCACTAGGTCAGGATTAGTCTCGAGCGCGGCCTAGAGCCTGAATGGAATACAGAGAGCTTCGGAAGGACTCGGAACTTGGCCTGTGCATGTCTGGATTGCTCAGTGAGCACTATATCTCTCGGAGATAGTCTAGGCCTAAGATTGAGCAGGTTCTGCATAGCTATCTTAGCTTCAGGTGAACAGGGATAAAATGATGATGATGGGAAAATGACTAGTGGCTTGCCGAGGTGGACCCGCTCAAACTCCGAGAACTTGACTGAAATCCCGACGCGGCTCTTCTTCATGCCGGTACGATACCTGCATTCCGACGGGATCCCAACGGATGTTGGTTGAAGGAGGCTGTACCATGATGATGATACATATAGCTGTAAGGAGATGATATCTGAGCTTCAAGCCGTAGTAGTAATAAAGCTAGTACCAGCGCCTTCATTTCTGGTCACCTCTCCGCTGATTCCTAAGCCATGGAGGGAAAAGTTAGAAAAGAATAACGATCTATATCATCAAATAAGCTCCGGCCTCCGTGCCCCGTCGTTAACAGATCGTATGCATTATTCTACCATCTTTTTCTCACTGTGACTGTTTCTATTTCATGGGATTTCTATTTACAAAAGAATCAATAAATCATTTTCACATCAGAATAATGCATGCAAGGAACACGGCGAGCTTGTCGTAGGCTTAGACTCTCGTGAGATGATCATTGAAGAACAGTCTCGATGATGGATGGATGATGGCGATTGGAAGCTGAGTACGAGTCTACGACAGTTGCGATCTTCGCCAGAGAGGTAGATCATTGAAATTTGAGTATCAGCATTTGATATCAATAGCTTTAGGGTGCCTGGAGGTATTTCGAGTAGTCTACCTTGTGCTCAAAAATGCGACGTAGACATCTTTTTTCTTCAAAATGCATCCCCTCACAGGCCTCACCGACCACAGAAAAGTGGGATACTTGAAAGAAATCCTTTTCGAGGTACTAGTCCGACAGATTCTACGGCTACAATGGGCGCTCGTCGTATATAATTCACAGTGTTTTTACACACAGAACACGGCCTCCAGCTCAATCTCCGTAGTTTGTTGAGCTGAAACTCAAATTCAACTAGGTCTACTTCAAAAGATTTCGGTTCCAAATTCCTGACATTTTCACGCTGATGGGATTGAATTACATGTTCTGGCGGCGCTTTTGCACACATACAAAAGAATACCCGCCTGGTCGATTTCGATGGATATCACCTTCGAAATATCACGAGTCGGGATACGCGTTCTATCGAGGCGTGGTGGTAGAATATCAGTCCCGGAGTAAGCGTTCCTGGAAGTACACACTTTTGAGTATCGATCTTTTACTATACACCGGGAAGCTACTAGGATGAAGAAATGGGGAGAAGGCAGGATAAAGACGCGTTGAGGTATAAAAATCGGCTCAGTTCACCACAATTCCTCAGTAATCGCTCTCAGCCTTACTTGCCTAGTACTCGCTTTCAGCCTTACTACCTTGCCTATTTTCAGCAGTCATGTTCTCCTTCAAGTCCCTCTCCCTTGTTTCTCTCGTTGCTCTCGTAGCATCTGTCAGTGCCGAGAGGCACGTCGTTCACTTCGACAACCGATGCGGCCGTGGTACTGTAAGTTATGAGCCGCTCTCGTTTCTTAAAGCGATGCTAAGGAATCATCTTTACAGCCCACACTCATCCAAGGTGGTAGAGTACTTTCTACCGGAGCCGACTTTGTTAGCAACGGCCCGCTAACAGCAGCCATTGCGTATGTCTTTCTAATTTAAGATCCTGTTGAACGGGGGTACTGAATCATATTATTCAACAGCTACCTCCAAACTGGTACGA